TCCCCAGCCTCCCTTGTAACACAGGAATAAGGAGACGTCCTCCCCTGAAGGACTGTGGTGAGGAAGAGACAGTGAAGTGCAGTAAATGACAGCAGGCGGAGCCACCACTAAGCATGAAACCAAGACAAGAGCCAGGTGTCAGAACCTCCTGCTTAGCGTGCGCTTCTCCGTGGTGGGATGGATTTTGATGTGCTATTCATCCTAAGGAGCTACAAATATCATACCCCAGGGTTAGACAGGGGGGTTCCCTAGATAAATATTTATGGAGCATCTGTTGGGAATCAGGTGCGCTGGGTGTTGAGGATCAAAGAGGTTAGGGAGACAGTCGGGTCCCTGCCATCCCAGAGCTCTCGGCTTCAGGGGGCAGATGGGGTCGGAGTGGCAGGGGGCAGGACAGTGCAGGCGAAGAGAAAGCAGCCCGTGGGGGCCTCACACACTCGAATCTCCATGACTTGCTCGTTTGTTCTGTCAACCAGTATTTGAAGGCCTACTCCATGTGTGCCAGGCATTTATTCCAAGTGCCGAGGATACATGCTGATCAAGATAGACCAAAAGCCCTTGTCCTGTTAGAGGTGACATTCTGCCAGCTCAGCAGCTCACCAGCAAATCGAGTATCTTCGGAAAGTCAGTAGGTCTGGCTCAGCCTCAGTCTGGCTCAGCCTCAGTCTCATCGAAGAGCACTGGGTGATTTAAATGAGTTGATGCATGGGAACTCCTTGGCAGGGTGCCTGTCATGACGGCTGCACCCAATAAATGGTGGTGTGGCACGTGCAATGAGGCCCGTGGTGGGGACTACCATCTCAACCTTGGAAAGAGTCTGGGGGAAGTGACTTAAGAGCCAAGACCTAGGACTGCAGATCATGTGGCTGGGACAAAGGGCTGGAGGCCACCCTAGCCGTCGTCACCTCCCCTGACCCTCCCGTCTGCCCCCCCCCACAGGTCTCCTTCCCATGGGCCAGGGGTCCAACACCTTGGCCAAGGCCGTCGCCACCTTGGGCCACACAGCAGCCAAAGCAGTCCCCCTCGCCACCGCAGATGCCTTTTCACCCAGGCGTCCGGCCAGTGCCAGTGCAGAGGAGCTGGTCCCAGGGGTTCCCCAGACCCACCAAGGCCCCGCCTGCCTCCCAGAAGCGGCCTGTGAGTGCCAACGGGAAGATGTTTTCCTTCGTGGTGAACAGCGCCCACCGGCCTCCCGTCATCAAGCAAGGTATTTCACAGGCACTTCTGCCACTGGCTTAGGGGACGGGCTTATAGCCACGAGGGTGGGTCTTGCTTTTTGCTTATTTTCTCTGATTCTAAACGTAGAACATAGTCAATTGTGAAAAAAAAAATTGGGATAAATAGGAAGTAAGAAAAGAGTTGAAGATCAGCGTCACCCTTGTCACCTGATTCTCCCTGTAGACTTCTTGGCGCAAGTCCCTCCAGACTTTGCACATATACGCACGTCGGTACCTCTCTGATGAGTGTGTGTGTGCATGCGCGCGTGTGCACATACATATGAATGTGTGGCAGGACCTACATTTACACACTTTGACTCAGATGTGCAGAAATATTGGTAACTGAAATTCCCCCTTGCCTTAGGAGGTTTTTAAATATTTCTTACCATTTTACAGTTGAAAGGACACTGACGCTTATCGAGGAAAATTACTTCCCCAGAGGTGACATATTCAATCTAATCCAGTCTAATGTTTTTCAGTCAAACTTAAGTCTGGCTATCTCCGTGACCGTCACTCACAGCCTGGTCACTCTGGGGACACACAGCCTTCAGGGTTTCTTTCCCTCGCTCTCTCCCCCGGAAGGCCTCACGGGACGTGGGGAGGCGGCTTCCTGTCTGTCATCGTCCTTTTGACCTCAGCAGCCTCACTGCCAGAGCAGCCGCGTTGACTTAGTTCCCGGCATGATTCCTGGGTTTCCTCCGTGGCCTCTGCTTTGAAGGTCCCATTCTCTGTCCTTCGCGTCCCAGCCCCAGAGCCCTCTGAGGACACCCAGGTCTCTCAGTGGCTCCACACCTGCCCTGGCCTCGCCCAGGACCATTCACCTAGTCACCTCCTTCAGCCGAGCAAACAATAGTTATTATTATGAAATATACTAACTAAGGAGTAAGTGAATCTCTACAGTTGACATCATCATCACCATCACCATCATCATCATCATCATCATCATCAAATGAATCTCAGTGGCTCCACACCTGCCCTGGCCTCGCCCAGGGCCATTCACCTAGTCACCTGCTTCAGCCGTGCAAACAATAGTTATTATTATGAAATATGCTAACTAAGGAGTAAATGAATCTCTACAGTTTACATCATCATCATCACCATCATCATCATCATCAAATGAACGCTCATGTACCTACCACTCAAGTTAAAAAATTACTCTGCCATTTCTCCCCAACATTTTAATATGAAAATTTTCTAACATATGACAAAGCAAAAAGAATTTTATAGAGAACTCCCCCACATACCTAATTCTACCATTAACCGTCTTCTGTCCTCTTTATTGCATATCTATCGGTCTTTCCATCCTTCTGTTCATTCATTAATCCACCTTATTTTTGATGCATTTCAAAATAAGTTACACACATCTATAGTCTTCTCCCTAAGTATTTTAGCATATGTACCATTAACTAAAGTGCAACAGTTTTTCTTTTTGATGTGAAATTAACATAATATGTATTAGTTATCGATTATTACATAACAAATTCTCCCCAAATTTAGGAGCCTAAGGCAAAAATCAATAATAAATAAAAGAATTATCTTAGTCCATGTGGGTCAGGCACGTGGCAGCATCTGAGCTGGGTGGCTGCGGCTCACGGTCTCCTGTTGGGCTGCAGTCATTCGAAGGCTTGACCGGGGCTGGAGAATCTGATTCCAAGACGGGGCCCTCACATGGCTGTCAGCAGGAGGTTTCAGCTCCTTGCCACATGACGCCTCTCCAGAGAGCTACTGGAGTGTCCTCATGACATGGTAGTTGGCTCCTCCTGAGCCAGCGGTCCACGAGAGCCAGATGGAAATTGCAGTGTCTCTTATGACCAAGCCTCAAAAGTCACGCTCTGTCATTTCTGCAGTATCCTGTTGGTTACACAGTCAGCTATGTCCAGTATGGGACGAGACTGCACATGGGCCTGAAAACCAAGAGGCGAGAATTCTCGGTGGTCATCTCTGAGGCCAGCTACCACACTCTGCCCTCTGGTCCTCAATGATTCACCCCCCTCCCACATGTTAAGGTGCCCTCACCCTCTGCCAAGGCCCCCAGAGTCTCACTCCACTATGGCATCGGCTCAAATTCCAGAATCTCACCTAAATTAAGTCCAGGTACAAACAAAGCTCACGGGTGTAGTTTAAGTTCAGCCCGAGTGCTGTTTCTAGTGATCTGAAGACCTGTGAACTACAGAGACAGCTCATCTGTCCCTCCCACCCAACATATATTGCTGGGACAGATACAGCATAACTGCTGTGGGTGCTCCTCTTGTCCAAAAAGGGGGAAAGACAGGAAACACACAGGAGGCACTGGCCCAAAGCAGTTCTGAAATCCAGCCAGAAAAACGTTGGCAGTTTCTCGTTCAGGCTTTAATCCTACCCTTCCCCAGAAATGACTGTTCGTGGCTCTCGTCTCGACACTCCTGTCCCTTAGTTCTGTCCTCTGAGTTGTTCTCCTCATACCATGAAAGAGTAGCATATATTTGCAGCTATAGAATTTATAAGCTGCTTCCTGCCTGTAGAAGCATGGGGGGCCAAAAGCTGCTTTTACTTTTGTGAGCCTCTGTCAGAAGTTGGCAGTGTTTCTTCTTGGGGTTCACCATAGCAGGCAAAAGGCATGGAATGGATATTCCTGTTCTAGAATTTCCAATAAACAGAATCATGTAGTTTATATTCTCTTGTGAAAGGCTTTTTCACTCAGCATAATGTTTCTGAGATTCATCCATTTCTATGTATCATGAGTTTGTTCCTTTTAATTGTCAAGAAATTCTGTTGTGTGAACATGGAATTTTTTAATCTATTCTTTTATTATTGGACATGTGAGCTGTTTCTTTTTTCTTTCTTTCTTTCTTTTTCTTACCCAGCTGCTTTAACTTTTCCACCAGCATGGGGATTCCTGCTCAGGGCAACCTACTGCTCCTCGGTTGAATGACCTGTATGTATATGGCATCAAACAGACTATGCCGAATACATTTTAAATAAGCCACAGGCCTTGTGACAATCATTAATGCATCACAGGGGCCTCAAGAATTTGACTAGATATTATAGTCAAAGCCTGCTCCAGAAGAGGTTTTATAAAAATCTCATTTCTCCCTTTTCCCTTCTTTTTAAACCCAGTTATAGATGTTGGCAGGAAAGGAGGTATTAGGTTAAGAAGAGGGAAAATATGCTAGTCCTGTGCTTTCTGACACGGTAGCCACCAGCCACACATGGCTGTTGGTCACCTGGGATGTGGCTAGCATGACCGAGGAACAACGTGTTTAATTCTAATTAATTTAAATTTAAAAAACTGATATTTGATTCAGTTTGTTGGAAGGTTTGAAGTATGCCTGGAACATCTCGGGTATGCAAATCTATTTTTCCAACTGTAAATTTTTGTGAAATCTAAATTCAGATTGAGTCTTTCCATTGAAAATTTAGCTTCCAAATTGAGATGCACCGTGAATGTAAAATAAACCCTAGATTTGAAATACTTAGTACCAAAAAGAAAAATAATATAGAATAGCTCAATATTTTTTGTCTTGATTACATGTTGAAATGATATTTTCCTATATTAAATAAAAGATATCACTAAAATTAATTTCATCTCTTCTTTTTACGTTTTCATGTGACTACTAGAAAGTTTTAAATTGCATATGTAGCTCACATGGTTTTTCTGTCAGACAAGGCTGCCCTTGTCAGTTTAGCACCAGCTGCACGGGATCCAAGAGAGTGAGGTGGGGTAAGTGAGCTTCAAATGAAAGCTCTCTCACCATCGAGTCAGTTGGGGGAAGAGGAGGGAGAGAATGGGCAGCCTCCTCCCGACGTGGAGGGGAAGACGGAAGGAGAACAGAGTATTTGAGAGAGAGCCGCCATCTCGGTCCTTGGGGCCCGAGGCTTGCACCCCACCCACGTGCACAGAAGCTGAGAGAACGTGGAATGCATGTTCTCAGGGTGCTGTGAGCACTCCCGCTTTCCAGACGCTGAGACCAGGGCATCCGCTGGCACCCAGCAGGGCCTCCGCCCTGAGACCCGCCGTCTGGCGGAGCCGCAGGCCTCTACCTGGTGCCGGGAAACCCAAGTGAGTGTGTCAGTGGGTGGGCGGGGAGCTTTCTCTTCTCAGCGATTTCTAGGGGAGACCGACTTGTCTCACTTTGCCCAGGACTCTCATGGTGAGGGCACTGAAAGTCCCCGACCCCAGGAAACCTCTCAATCCGGGGCGAACCGGGACAGATGGTCACCTTAACTGTTTCATTCGCTCCCTCACTGATGAGTTCACCACTCTAGGGGGGCATGGCGGGGGCGGGGGTGTGGAACCTGTTACTGCCGGGAGGTTCGTGTGCCCTGGTTCCGGAGCCAGACCGGCTGGCTCAGACCCTGACTTCGCCCCTGACCGGATGTGTGGCCTCAGGCACGTTGGTTTCTCAGCATCTCAGCAGGGCCGGCCACAGTACCTGCCTCACAGCGTGGTCCTGGGAGCTAGCGTTTACACAGGGAAGGCACTGGTGGCCGACGAGCCTTTCATGAGTTGTTATGAGTGTGGGCCCGGCATGGCGCTTTCATTCTCAAACAATACTCCTGGGCACCTTTCCCCACTGGTACGTGCCAAATGGAACCGAGAGAGGTCGGGTTTAACCTCCTCCTAGCCGTGTGAGCTTGGGCGGAGGTTTTCTCTCTCTGTGCGCCAGTTCGCACATCTGTAAAATACGATTAGTAAACTCATTTCGAGGGCCACAAACTGAGACATGGTCCTCAGCCACATAGTCAGGGAGATCGACATTAACAAAACGATCACAGAACAGCATCTATAAAGTGATAACACCTGGCAGGAGAGGTACTTGGTGCCCCTTGAGCTCATGATTGTAGGACTTGACTTAGTTGAGGGATCAGGAAGGTGTCCCCGAAGGAGTGACACTCAAGCCGAGGGCCAAAAGGCAAGGGACATCGACTAAGTGCACAGGGAGCGGCAATCTCGGTGGAAGGGAGAGTGGGTGCCGGGGCCGGGTGGTGGGCGAGGCGGAGTGAGCGAGAGGAGACGGTCGGTGTGGCTGAAGGGTGTGCTCCCAGAGGAACGGGGCTCAAGACCACGTAAAAAGGTCAATGAGAAGTGACCTCCAGTGTCAGGCAGGGAGGGGACGTGACCCAAGGTCCAGCTACACGAGGCGGTATCTGACGTTGGATACGTTCACCACCACAGGGAAAGCGACCTGGGCATAATCGAGAAGGGTTCTGCTTGTTTGAGACCTGGGGTTGGGAGGTGGCGGGGAATTACTGGCTCTAAAACACATCAATAGAAAATGCAGAATCAGAATTAATAAGTGATCGAACAACTGTCCACAAACGTGACTGTGCATACTTCATTAATGGTTAATGTTGACACGCATTAATGTTTCATCACCTTTGAAAACAATTGGTTCCGTTTCTCACTTCACGAGAAGACAAGAATGTGCCCAGAAATCAGAGTCAGTTGGAAATTTAAAATACAGCCCTCAGAGCCAAGTAATCTCGAAAGCAGAGTTACAGAAATCCTTTCAAAACTTTCTGCACCAAAAAAAAATGTATTCAGTGTAAATGTGAATAAATCGTGATATGTTTGGTGTGGTATAGAGTGGGACTTCCAACATAACAATGCCAGAACCCCTGAAAGTCATTTTAACAGCCCTTGCGACATCAGGGGTAAATTAAAAAAAAAATCAGAAAAACAAAATATCTGTCAATAGATTCTAGTTAAATTCATTTCAGCACATTGTACAATGGACTACGAAGCTGCCATTAAAGAATGCAGTATACCCACAAATACTGATGTGGGAAGATGTTTTGCTATATTGTCAGGTGAAAAGGCAAGCTGGAGAAAAATCTCTGCAATATAAATACATTTTTTGTGTTTTTTTTTGTTGTTTTTTTTGAAGATGTAATTGGGATTAAAAATTAGCTAACAATTAGTGCTAAATGCTCAACGCCAGGGGCAGGAAACTTTTTCTGTAAAGAGCCCATAGCAAACATTTTATCTTTGTGGGCCATGTCATCTCCATCAATATGACTCAACTCTGCCTTTGCAGTGGAAAGCAGAAGCAGACAATAGGTAAATGAACGTGTTGGGCTACGTTTTTAAAAAAAACTTTATTTACAAAAACAGACAGAGGGCCAGACTTGTCCCTAGGGCCTTATTTTGCCAACCCCTGCCCTACCGTTATTTAATCCTCAAATAGGCCTTTATAACAAAGACCATTAGTGACTCTAAATTATGTACGTGTAAACTAAGGCTTAGAGAGAGTAAATGACCCGCCCAAGGTCATCAGCTCTTTATGTGGCACAGAACAAAGTCTGGAAAGAGACACATCAAAGTGAATCAGCCCAGTTAACAATGGGAGCGAGGTATGAGGTGGCTTTTTCCCTTTTGAACACTTTCCTTGTTTTCCAAGGAACATATACACAGCTTCGATCTTTTAATTATGTGAGACGTACGTGTAATGCACAGGAAGTGAATGTGAGGGTTAGCCTGAAAACCTTCTTTCAGACCTCGAGGATAGTCACAGTCTCCTCTGTGTTCTCTCTGCCCTTGTGGTTAGTGTGGAGGAATGTCATGGAGGTGTCGGAGCAATCGGTGACCGAGGGGATTCCCCAGGCAGGACCTTCCCGGGAGATTCCTGTGGACCAGGACCTGGCCCAGCAGGACAAGGTGAGGGGTCTCGGGGGGCGGACAGCCAGAGGGACGGCAGAGGGATCGCCACGGCCTCTTGTTCTCTGTGGCCTAGAAGCGCCATTTTTACTACTTCCAAGAAACCACTTCTTACTCCCAGGGCGTTCAACTCAAACTGGTGACTGCCCATTTTATCCCAAATAACAGCATCGACAGCCGCAATGGACTGAGCACCCACTGTGTGCTGGACCGTGTCCTGCGCACTTGACATTCAGTTAGCTCGTTCTTCTTCACGGTCTTCAAACCCGACTTTTACCCCCTTCACTTTACGGGTGAGGGAACTGATCATGCTCAGAGTTCAAGTAACTCGCTCGAGTTTGCACGGTGCGAGGGGCAGAGTGAGGATTCACGTCCGGGTCCGGTTAACTTCCAGGCCGGCCCTTCTGAGTCCCACACAGTAACTGGTCCACCACGATGGATGGGACAGTGGCGGGGAAAACACATTTCCTAGCAGGAAGAAGCGAGCACTGAGGTCGGAGAGAGAGACAGAACCAGAGAGGTGTAGAGCGTGAAACGGGAACGGGAACAGACAGGTGAATTCAAGTGATCCTGGGAAGGGTCCGGGGTGATCGCTCCCTTAGACACGGCCTGACAATTATCCTAGAAGAAGCGGCCGAATGACCTCTTGCTTTCCGTAAGGCCCAGGGCCTGAGCCAGCACCAAGCGCATCCAGAGTCTCTGAGGAGCAGAACCACGTGGGGTTCTTGTTAGACTCAGGAATATGCAACCTCAGGTTGCCGGTGGCTCTGACGCAGGTGTCCTGGGACCAGACTTTGAGAAATGTGGCAGTAAGGTGAGAGGCCAGGCTCGGAGGCTGTAGCAGTTAATCTGTTGCTGGGTAACGAGCCAGCCCAAAACTTAGTGGTTTATAACAGCAATTGTTTCTCAAAATCTGCAGGTTGACCTGGAAAGTTCTTCTGCTGGTGTCCCCTGGCCTCACTCACGTCACCACAGTCCGTGAGTGGCCTCGTAAGAGCTCGCGTAGAGAGTCTTTAACATCGCTTCCACCACGTTCAGTTGGTAGAAGCGGGTCACGGGGCCAACCCAGGTTTGGTGGGGGCAGGGGAGTAGATTCTACCACTCGATGGCAAAAGCGGCCAAGTATTCGTAGCCATTTCCCGATCTACCCCAGTTGTTACACTGAAAACACAGTGTAACCACATGTATATTTTTTCTATTTATGAGCCATTTATGCCCCGACTTGCCAGGACTCCTTCAAGTGCTTAAGCATTTATGGGCCCATCTTATTGGGAAATCTGAAGGCCGGCTCTCTTCAGGCATGGCTCAGCCCAGGAGCTCAGATGACGTCATTGCAACATTCCCACCACCAATCTCTCCCCGCCATCTCCCTCAGAAGCCAGGCTTTCTGCCACAGCCTGGCTTCGTGTGCTCCATGGAGAAGACAAACTCAAGCCAGCCAGCCTACAAATTTATAAAGTTTATCATCCAAAAGGAGTCAAGATCCTTCCCCTCTGTTTTCAACATGGGAGATCTCTGAGAAAACTAACTGACCAGTCTGGGTCACGTGCCCGTGGGGAGGTGGGACAGGAAGGAGCAGGGCACAGGGTTGTTTGCAGTCCTACCAAGACCTCGTGGAAGCGGGGACGCTCCCTCAAGGCAGGGCGCAGGGTCCTCACCCAGAAAGGCAGAAAGCACAGCTGGCTGCCACACCCTGCAGGCTTCTTTGTACTCCGGCGCCCAGCACAGGGCCTGGCACATAGTAGCTGCTCAATTAATGTTTGTTGCATGAATAATTCATAAGCACCTGGCTGAGCATGGAAGCTCTGGGTGACTAGTAATTGGGTAAAACAAAGCAGGCTGCCCCGGAGTACGGAATGTTTGATGCTCTCTCTTGACGTTTTGCCACACGCCTTGGCAAAGACCCAAAGAAAGACCCGTGGCAGCAGTTGGCAATGCCCGATGGGCTTCCTCATGATCCAAACCCTGTCCTTCCACGAGTCAGGGAGCTAAGAGTTGGTGAGGCTCCCTGGTCAGCTCCCCCGGCAATGAGCTGGCCTAGAAATTGCCCCTGACCTCCTTCCAACCAACAGAAAATTGTTAGAAGAGCAGGAATTCCTTCAAAAGCAGAAATTCGATAACTGCATTTGAAAATACATCTAGAGAGGTTCCTCCCCCGCCCCACCCCCCAGTCTTTCTGACATTGTATTGATGACTTCTGGTGAGAAGTTTGGGGATTTTCTTTTTTTTTTTTTTTCCTTTCAGGGGAAACCTTAAAATTCTGTGGCTGCAGAGCTTTTTCTTTTGGAAAGATAGAGAACTAGGTTAATTATACCTGCGGGTAAAGTCAGCCAGCAATTTGTTTTTTTCTAGCCCAGAGTCTGCGTGAGCCCACACAAATAAATCACCATTCCTGTCTCATTTACTTTCCAGATTCAGTTCCCGGAATACATTTTTACATCAATAACCAAAAGAGGCAGAGAGTACCAGGAGAGAGGAAGGAGGAAAAGAAATATTTCAGAATGTATTAGACTGCCAGAGTTAAAAATAGCCCTCGTTATAGTCAGAATGTGGTCGAATAGAATGTCGTTTTTCTAATTACCCTTCCTAGGTCTCCACTGTGTTGGGCTGAATGTTATTAAAAAAAAATAATAATAATATAAATAAACTTTCTAGCAACAACAGTTCCCAACTGGAATGCTTGTTCTCAGTATGGAAGTATAATTTTAGGGGAAAGGAAGGTTATAGTTCCTGCAAGGCATAAGCACCCATTTACAGGAGTCTGTATATAAGCAGATCATTTTAACCAGGTGAGGCTTTCCAGGTGACAGAGAGCCTTGAAAGCCTGTCTTTCCCCTCCCTGCCTGCCTTCGCCTTCCCATAAGAATTACACTGCATCTTTCCTACATTTTTATAAGTGGACACAGCCTTGCCCCCAGACCCACACCTAGTAAATGTCCCGTCTGGCCTCCACCCAGGATGAAATAATTCTTCTGCTGGGAAAAGAAGTCAGCCGTCTCTCAGATTTTGAACTGGACTCTAAGTACAAAGATGCCGTTATAGCCAGCCTGCAGAACGAAGTGGCCAGCCTGAGCCAGAAGCTGACGGAGACAACCACCTCCAGGCAGAGCGAGAGAGAGATCTCACAGAAGTTTCAGGTGCTGGACAAAAACATTGATGCCAAAGAGAAAGAGATCCAGAACTTGAAAAGCCAGGTAGGACCCAAAGCCTTGGAGTCATGACACAGGGTGACAGCTCTTGGGTAGAGAAGGGACCCACCCAAATAGTTAGGGAAGGTGTGGGCAGCCCAGCATGGTGGGTAAGAGCACACATCCCAGGGATTAGAGACCTGGCAGCTTCCTAGCCTAGTAAGAACAGTATCAACTTTGACTAAGGACCTGTCATGAGCAAGCACTGATACAAATGCTTTAGATGCTCACCGAAACCTCACGACCCCTGACACATACCGCTCCACAGACGAGGAGACCGAGACAGGCTCAGGGACGCCCGGTAACTTGTCACAACTTGCACCCCAAGTTAGCGGTGATGGTGCGATTTGAGCTCAGGTCTGCCTCCTTGCAGAGCCCATGCTCTCACCCCCCTACTTCATATTTCCACCCAACTCTGTTGCTTCAGTGACCACCTCTCACATCCACCCAGCCCCAGCCAGAGAGAGCTGTGGGCAGTTAGCTAGAGAGGGGAGGATGGACACCGCCCCACCCCCCACCCTGCCCCATGTTCTAACACTCATGCCTTTACCAAGCCCCTGAGGGCAGTTGCTGGCTCACTCGTGGGGAATTTCATCCAACAAAAATTCTCCACCTGAAATTTCTGGAATTACCAATCATGTTCTTTCTCTCGAAACTAGACCATTTTTTTTTAAGAACTACGTTAAAATTGGCCATAGATCGTGTACGTAAATTATATCTCAACAAAGTTGATTAAAAAAAAATTTAAAAAAACCTGGCCACTGACGAATGTTGGCCTCAGTGCATAATGCTGCTTAAAACGATGGCCGCACTTGGGGCCTCTGTTCTCTGGTTCCCTGGTACTGCCTCGCCTTTCTGCAATCAATTCAAGGTGCACAGTCTTGCTCCCGTGTCCTAGAAAAGGACGTAGGTCGCGCGTGGTGGACCTAGAAGATTCCTCCAGGAGGCTGTAAGCTCCATGAGGGCAAAGGCTGGGCCTGATCACCGTCCAGAACTCCGACGAGACCATGTCCGTCCATTTGTTCATTTGTTCATTCGTCCATCTGTTTATTCATTCATTCAAATAAATATTTGTAGTGTGCCTCTTCTGAGCCATGCCCTCTTCCAGACTCTGAGAATTCAGCAGAGAACGAGGCAGACGTGATCCTTGCCTTCCCCTGATTATACTCCAATGTGGGAGACAATGCTCTAACGTTTAAATGGACAAATGACTCTCTTTTGGACCTGTTTTTGAAAAAAAAAAAAAAAACAATAAAAGCAGCAGGTCCCGTAGGAACTCTACTGCAAATAGCTAGCTACCTTGATATGTGGCTGACTCACTGATGAGCATCTTTTGAGCATCAATTTGGCCATTGGATGGAGAAAGATCCCTTTCAGTTATTCTCCCATTTCAGAGCTTTCCTGAGCAAAAGTGACATGTCTTGTCCAGATACATGAACAAAGATGAATAATTCCCACATATATTTTTTTTTTTTGTAGTCGAAAATGTATTAGACATATAACATTGTGCAATTCCCACAAATCTTTTAGTGTCAGCGGGTCACGATTTGGGTATTATTTAAAGTGGCTAGTGATGTCTGGAAAAAGGGTTTTGTTGGTTTTTTTTTTACAAAGAAATTATCTAGAAATAATGACACCGACTCATCATTCTGTTGCCTTCTCCCACCCCTTGATCTTCACTTATAACCGAAGGAGAATATTTTGTAACAAGGCATATCTGAACTAGAGGCTGCAGTTGGTTTGTCCGCTCACATTTTCGTTTCTTAAATAATCTATCACCTACGGAACATTCAGCCTGAAGTATAAATCACATGGCAGGTCAATTTATTGGTCTGATTATTTTATATGCTCTCCGTGGTCCCCTGACAGCATGCACATAATGATTTGCTCTCAAAGGCCGTTGATCTGCTACAGTACCACTAGGAAACAGTTCCCTCCGTGCGTTCTTACACACCTGTGCTTGAAGCAATCACTCCTGAAACACTTAACTTTCTTATCATTCAGTGTCTGTTTTATTGCACAGTGTTACAGACGTTAAACTTCTTGGTATTTATGCCAATGACAACATGGATACTTATTTTGGCAGTGGAAGAAATTAAGGGATTTTGAAGACTATTTGGAGTTTCCCCACAATCTAAAATCCTAAGACTCTGATACTTAGATTGACTATTTTATATCTGTCAAGAGCACTGGAGTCTTTAGTGGGGCAGTGTATGTTTTCTCTTTCCTTCTGGAAGTTTGTGTTTTGCCTTTGGTATCATGCAAATAAAAGCATTAATCCGAGAGGAGCTAATTTTAATTATTCCAAGTACCTGTTATGGAAAAGTTATGTTTCCCCAACAGAAAACAGTAAGAGGTAAAATAAATGTTTTCACTCAAAGTTTCCAAAGAACAAATGTGCAAAAATATAGCCATGGGGAGGGTGAGGGACAGAGTGCTGTGTTCCCCCGACCTTCTAGCGTTACCCCCTCCCCAATGTCTCAGATGCCCTGAGACAGGGAAAAAAAAAAAATAAGTGTAACTTTTCCAAATGTGATGGCCTCTGAACCACTGATGGTGCATGAGAAGAGTCAGCAAATGAAATGAAACCTTGACGGTTCTGTTAATTCCACCAGAGTAATAATGACAAGGTTTTCCAGGGACAGAAACCAAGGACGAAGTCCCTGCGTGCCACCTGGTGGCGAGGCCCTCACCCACATTATGCGAGCGTGCCCCACCCCCATGACGTCTTTATGCTGCGCCTACAGCATGACACACCGGTGAACAGGGATTCCTGTATTTCCTCCGAAATGACAATCGCGCTGGTGCTCAGGCGAGCCTCGACAGGCCTGGCAAATGCCCGAAACATTTTACCGATCTACCTGCCCCCAAGGCAGACGAGAGCCACTGAAGCACAAGCACACCGTGTCGCATCAGGCGGGAAGATAGGCACAGCGGACACCTAGATGCCACGTGCCCGCCATGCTCCGAGCACTCGCACACACAGTAACCAGTTTCCTTCGACTATCAGATTGGGACCGTTGTCACCCATTTACCGAATGAAAAAAATGAGACAGACTGTGACATCCTCCTCGTTGTCACACAGCCCGGAAGCGGCGGAGACAGCATCGGAAGGCCACAGTCCGGCTCCCGAGTCCACACTATGCTTCACAGCCCCAGGCTTTTAATGCTAGGTCCTAGAGCCATGCAGCAAGGTGGAAAGTACTGGAACCAGGCAGCTAAAATCCAGATCTAAATCGTAACTCCGCCTCTGACTAGCCGTGTGACCCCAAGCAGGTGACCTCGCCTCTCTGAGTCTCACTTGGCTCACTTAGAGAATGGGAGCATAAATGGAACCATCAGCCTTGAGCAATGCTGTGAGGAGCTGTCAAAGAAGTAACATCTGTGAACAGGTTCTCTGAGCTCTGGAATGTTCTGCGAGATACGAGCCATTGTTATGATCATTGGAGCAAATTAATTTTATAACCTGCTCCCCTCTCTCAAACTTTGCTCTGTATCCAGGCAGTGCTTGATGATCTGGAACCAAGGCCTGGTCTATTTATAGCTGAGAGTCCGAAGGTTGTAGAGGGGCTCCTTACGGAACCAGGCGTCCGCAGTGGTAGCTGCATCCCCAGTGGTAGCAGAGCCCCTGTGTGGGCACGCAGATAAACGTTCATGTTTTGGTCACATGTGAAACAGTGGTCACTGAAGGAACAGGCCCTCTCCTGCCCTTTCCACTAGTTAAAACTAAAATGCTTGGTTTCCCCGACACCCCAACCCAAGATCAATCGGACTTCTTTTGTTCAACCCTGGAAAAACACCGGTGTGTCCTGCAGACCTGGGCTGCCCCCTACCCCCCACTGACTGCGTGTTGCCTCCTCTGCCCACAGGTCAATGCTCTACAGAAAGGCTACAGTCAGGTGCTGTGCCAGACCCTGTCCGAGAGGAACTCAGAAATCACGACGCTGAAGAATGAGGGCGAGAACTTGAGGAGGGACAATGCCATCACGGCAGGTGAGCTCTCTGGTCGGACCTGCGAGCCAACGCCCTCCTCCTCCCACGGCCGCGGCAGACGTCACCAGCCAACCAGCCATGGCTCCTTTGCTCACTGAAGCGGCTACAGCCTCAGAGGTCTTAGCAGCAGCTGTCAGGGAATTAGAGTGTGTCTTCAAGAGAGGTTTTTTTTTTGCCATCCAGTTCCTAGGGCAGGGCCTGATATATATTGAGTGACTGTTGTCTCTCAGCCAGATGTGCTGAGCGGCCTCACCAGGGGGAACTCAGGACACCGTGTGGCTCGGGCAGTTCCATGAGCCAGTTTGCCACGAATACAAACTAGAATGTGGACGACGTGGGGTCGCTGCTTTGAGACACCCGTTATCTTGCCCATCTCACCCCGATTCTCTCGGGCCCAAGTGGAAACCTTTTTCTATTGACCAACAGAGGTCGTTCCATGCCAAAGAACTTGGGTGGGTGAGGGGCAGGCAAGGCATGGTCCAGGGCACCGCTGTTTTTTAGCCTGGACTTCTTCATTCATTCAGCATTTTCTTGAGCACCTACTAGATGCCAGGGCCTGTTCTAGGGGCTGGAGAGAGAGCCCTGAGCAAAACAGTCAGGTGCCTGTCCTCACATTTGGGAGCGAGTGACAGATGACAAGTAAACAGGTGAATAAACAAGCCCATTTCAGAGAAAACTCTGCAACATAATGGCGGGGTGCTTCCGAGGACAGAGCGAAGGGAGAACAGCTTCGTGGGTGGGCACGGACAAGGCTTTGAGACGGGAGAGGGAAGAGCAGTCCGGAGGAGAGGGGATGATGCTCCAGGCGGAGAGGGGATGATGCTCCAGGCGGAGAGGGGATGATGCTCCAGGTGATGATGCTCCGATGCTCCAGGCGGAGAGGTGAGGAGGCTGGAGTGATGGGAACCAGGGGCTGAGGGCCTGGCCGGGACATGGACGGGGCAGAGCTAGGTCGCAGGCAGGAGTCTGGGCCTTATTCTAAGGGTGGTGGGGAACCACTGGGGTTTCTATAGCAGAGAATGACATGTCTAGAGATCCGAAAAGGATGGGGCCATTAACAGAGAAAGAGGGGATGGGGAGAAGCAGACGATAGGGAGCAGGCACTGAGACTGGTTGGGCACATTGCCCTTAAAGTACTCAGTACACAGCAGGAAATGAGTTCATTGCTGTAAGAGCTACATGCGAATTGCCGTCTCTATGTGAATCTGCGTGCTCCAGGCGGAGAGGGGATGATGCTCCAGGCGGAGAGACCCCATGCAAAGGCCTGAGGCTAGAGCAGGCTGACGTGTGGGGGCGCCGAAGGTGAGGAGGCTGGGGTGATGGGAACCAGGGGCTGAGGCCTGGCCGGGACACGGACGGGGCAGAGCTAGGTTGCAGGCAGGAGTCTGGGCCTTATTCTTAGGGTGGTGGGAAACCACTGGGGTTTCTATAGCAGAGAATGACATGTCTAGAGATCCGAAGAGGATGGGGCCATTAACAGAGAAAGAGGGGCTGGGGCGAAGCAGACGATAGGGAGCAGGCACTGAGTCTGGTCGGGCACATTGCCCTTAAAGTACTCAGTACACAGCAGGAAATGAGTTCATTGCTGCAAGAGCCACCTGCGAATTGCCGTCTCTATGTGAATCTGCGTGCTGTGCCCTGGGCCAGCCTGACCTCCGGCTTTTCGTCTGCCTCAGTCTCTACCCATGTACTCCATTCCTCCCCCGCCCACCAGGCCTCTGCTTATGTGGGTCTCTAACTTGGAATGTCCTGAGATATTTGCCGAGCACCTCCCACGGGCCAGGCGCTACTCTGGACTCTGGGAATATAAAGACGAATTCTCTAGGCCCTTGTCTTGCTCCCCTACGTCGGCTCATCAAATCTCATCCAAGCTTCAAGCCTGTCTCGGACACCACTTTGTGTGACCCTTGGGCCAACAGCATCGGCATCCCCTGGGCCCTTGTGGGAAATGCAGAGTCTCAGGCCTCGACCCAGACCTCCTGAAGCAGAATCTGCATTTTAACAGGATCCCGGGTATTCTGTATGCACATTCACGTTTGAGAAGCATAGGGCTGGGTTATGCTGCAGTAACAAATAAGCCCCGGGGGTCTCCATTGTCCGCAGTTGGTCAACAGCGGTGGCGTTGACAGTAACCCTCATTGCCTCTTTGACCTCTGTGTCTTTTTTTTTTTTTAATAGGGCTGGTGTCATCTTTGCAAAAAGACATGTTAGCAAAGGATGAGCAAGTGCAACAACTCAAACAGGAGGTGAATCAACTGAAGAGCGAGAACAAAGACAAGGATCACCAGCTAGAAGCCCTCAGCTCCAGGGTGAGTGCTGGCTGTCAGAGAGGAGACGCACTCATCTCGCTGACCTGGGGCCCCGCTTTAAATCACGCCTTGGCAATCTGAGGCCAGTGCCCAAGAGCACAGGGAGGAAGGCCACTGGGTGGGTCAAACACTCATCTGGAAAGACCAAAAGCCGGGGGCCAGGTTCCTGGCTGCTTTTCAAAGAACAGCATATTTTATGTGGCTCCAGAATAAGTGAGAGGTGTATTCGAATCCAGCAAACATTTTCTAACACCTGTTCTAAGTTAGGTCGTTTCATCGCAGGAACAAACACATGATTAACATGTCTCGCCACTGCAGGGCTTGATATTAAAACCGAGTAGGGTCTCTCTGGGGGCGAGGAGGACCACGCTGGCTGCATCGTGGCCCCAGTCACCGCTGGTTTTCGTAGCCGCCATCAAAGCAAAGCAGAGTGTTGGAGGGTCCAGATGCAGACATGCAGACTCTCATTTCTCCCAAGACTTTAGTGCGTGTAAGAATTCCTCTGTGTGAAATGAGCTCGGTGGGCAAATTAAGAGCTTTTTAAATGTACCTCTGACTACTCGCAAAGCTTGCTGTCAATCCTCACCCTGTAGGGCTTTAGAATCCTCACCCTATGGGACTTTAGGATCCTCACCCTATGGGATAAGATTTCTCTGTTTTTATATGACTTGTCTGTTTTGATGAGTCAAGGTAAAACCTAATAGCTTTAATCTCAGGTGGCAGCTCAGATTCACAGTGGCTGCCTGATGAGCTAGTTAAGTCTACTTGGGTGCCGGGTGAGAATAAATCTTAAAATTCCAAAGAAAAGGCAAAAGAAGTAATATCTGGTGCTTAGCACGAGACCCAGTTTGGAGCTGGTAAAAGGCAGAGCCTGAGCTTTGGGGTCAGATATGCGAGTCCAGCCCCAGAGCTTGCTTTTTATTGTAACTTCTTTGGCCATCATTTTCCCACCTGCAGAATGGGTGGGAACAAAATCACTGTCTGAGAAGCGGGAAGCCAGTTTTACTCATGCCCTTCTGCCTCTGCCCCTGGTCAGCCACCCTGCCGAGCCCTCTGCCTTTTTTTTCTCCCGAGCAGATTGGCTTCCTAGGCACGTGCGACCTCTGTTTTATGCACGAAGTGGGAGTGCGCGTTATTGTGTGCGGGGGGCGGGGGGTGGTTAGCCGATGCTCAGCGGAAGAAATGTGGAGAAGCAGCACCCGTTTGGCTCTTCTCCTCCCCGAAGTGCACGTGCATTATTTTCCCCCCATTCCTCCTTCCTCCTTGACCTTGGAACGAGGTCTGCCTTCTCCTCTAGCCTGTGCTCATCGGCTCCTCACCACCCAGGGCGCTGCTCCCAGGAACATGTGGGATGCCTATCTTCTTCTGTCTGTTTTGTTTTGTTTTTTTTTTAATTATGTATGTCATGGTGTTAATTTTAGAAAAATAAGTAGGTGGTATTAAAAAGCAAAATTTTTAAAAAGAGAAGAAAGGAAATGCTACCCCAAGAATTCGACATTAATAGTTTAATGTATAATCTTCTAGTCTCATTTCTATATCTTACCTAGAAATAAATAAATGACTTACATATTTCCTATCTCACGATGGAGTTATACTGTGCGTATTTTAAAATGTTAAATACTGTTTTCTCGCGTCAATCAATAAAAGCTCTTTTCGTTGGTCTTAAAAGCTACACAATATTTTCCTGGATGTACGCAATGCAACAGAGTGGTCTCCTGTCATTGGATGCTTGGGTTGCTTCTCTTTTTTTTTTTTTTCTTTTCTTTTCTTGTTGCTAGCAGCGAAGCACACCCTTGAACCTGCAGATTGGCCGATGTCTCTGGTCACTGTCCTTAGCACACATGCCTAAAGCAGGAATTTCAGGGTCAAAAAGAAGGCACGTCTCTATGCCCATTAATGCCTGTTACCGAACCGCCCTCCGGAAAAGCCGTTCCATTTACCCCTCCGCTGCCAGAATAGCTAAGTCTCTGAGATGAAACTTGCATGAAGCGCTGAGAGCCGCCCAGGTTCACCGGCGAGCCTCCTGCCCCCACGTGTTCCTGAAAGCCATGCTCTGCTTAAAACGCCCCAGTTCCTCTGCCCTGAGCATCCAGACCTACAAGGCTGGGTGTTCCCTGCGGTGTGGCTCGCTGGCTTTTGAAAAAGAGTTTAAACGTTTATTCCTTGGAACTCAAGAGTAGGGTGACTAGGAGCCACTGCAGGATCCCCTACGTCCATCAGACACAAAGGGTCTTGTCTCGGAAGGTATGGATGTGATTGGATTAAACAGCAGGAAATGCTCTTTGGGGCCAACATGGGGACTTGGGACCCCGCTCCCCCCCAGACAACCCCACGTGGCCTCCTTGTCTTTTCTCTCCACAGTGCTCAGCGCTGAAGGAGGAACTGAAGAGTGGAGAGGCTCAGAAGGAGCACCGGGAAGCCCAGGAGGAAGAGTTAAAACTCTGCAAATCCGTGAGTTGACCTCTGTCATTCTCAGGTCTCCACGGCAAGGCTAGACTTTGACCTTCAGGTTTTTAGGGGGTCCTTGGCCTAAAGCACGCGCTTTGGGGCTTTGTGATTGTTTATTTTGGCTAACGTAGTCTCATAGTTCTTTGAGTTGCTGCCTCTAGCCTCAAGGAGGAAATGGGTGGAAAGACCATGGAGAACATGCTCTTCCAGGATTCTCTGGGCAGTTGGCCCCAGTCTTCTCACCAGATTTCCCTTGGGGCTGGGCTGGGGTTGGAATGGGGACAGGGACAGGCGATAGCCAGCTGGCCATCACAAGCTGCCAGAAATTCACTGTGGCCCCCTGCCCCTAGCTGGACCTGTGATGCCCAAACTTTCGTGTTTCACAGTTTTATCATAGCCACGGGCACTATTATTGACACAAAGTTCTTAAGTATTTTTATTTAAATACATCAATTTTACACCAGTTCATAAAACAAAACAAAAGGGCATCTTTTCGCTGTATGCAGGTGACTGTAAAAGTAAATACAACGAAAATATGGCTATGACAATGAAAGCATTCATTTCCCGTGCCAGCGAATCCTCTTGTGCTCCAGCAGGCAGACAGTTCCCATTCGCCGGAGGCACCACGCCTGAGACACGAGGGGACATTTGTGTTCTCTGTCCCGAATGGGAAGAAAAGAAAATGTCATTGTTCTGTTCTTCTAAACAGCCCTTACGTAGATCGGTCTCAAAAAAATACACCCCAAGCAAAGAGATTCCAATGAGTTGATGGATATCTTGTCCTGTTTAATCCAGGGTCCATGCTGATTTTCAGACAAAACTAATCATTTTTCTTTACCCAGTATCAAAGGGCGGGGGGGAAAAACACTCTACTTTGCTGTACAGATAGAGACTTTCCCCCCAAGGGAAGGCATCGAGGGACCATCAGACCAGGTTTCCGCCTTAGCAAACCGGCAACGCACGTTAGGCAGAGTCAGACCTCTCAGCCCAGGGGGCAGCTCTCCCATCAGGGAAGCTGACTTCCCTGTTGTTGAAACCCTTCCAGCAAATCCAAGACATGGAGAAAGAAATGAAGAAGCTCAGGGAGGAGCTGAAGAAGAGTAGTACTGAGCAGAGCATGATCTCTAAGACGCTTCGAGAAAAGAGCAAGGTACGGCCAGGACAGTGTGGGCCCAGGGGCCACTCGGGCCAGGCGCTCCACACGCAGCATGTCCATCAGTCCTTACAATGACCCTGTGTCGTCCACACTGGTAGTAACCCCACCTTAACAGCTGGGAAACAGGAGGCCTACAGGTTCACCCAAGTTCACTCAGATAAAGTAGTTGTGGCAGAACTTGAATCCAGGTCTGTCTGACCCCAAAGCTCCCATGCGTGACCATGACCCTAGATTGCCTTCAAATCTCATTGTAAAATTACCTAGAATAGAATTAATCCTTTAAATCAAGTTCGCCAACTGATGTTCTAACGTAAATGCTCGTACCGATTATTCTGTCTGTGTGTTCTGTCAGTCACTGAGAGAGGTATGTTGTTTTTTTTTTTTTTCAATCTCATCATGATCGTGGACTGGTGTATTTCTTTTTTTAATTTTGCCAATTTTTGCTTGATACATTTTGAGGCTATGTTGCTAGGTGCATATAAATTTAGAACTGTAATACTTCCTGTTGGAAAAATTCTTTGATTATCAAAAAGTAAAGTTCTTCTTCATCTCTAGTAGAGTTTGTCCCTTGAGGTCCACTTTGTCATTAATACAACTCCATCAGCTACACTGGCTTTCTTCACAGCATATCTTTTTCATAATTTTTCTGTCAATCTTTGTCGTAAGTTTTAGACCTATCTCTTCTAGATGGCATTCACTTTTATGAAATCCAGCTGGACGATCTTTTTCTTCTAGGCCATGTATATAAAGTGTTGGGGTTTAAATTTACCGTCTTGCTTAGCACTCTTGTCTCGTCTGTGCGGTATTTCTTCTTCTCTCTTTCTGTTCTTTTGAGTTGTTTTTTTACCATTCCATTTTTCTCTGTGTTAGCTTGGAAATGTTTCACTCTTTAACTATACTTTTAGTAAGACAGTAGCATCCACCCTTGACTTACGGAAATTCATGTGAATTGGATTTGAGCGGTCATCCTAAGGACTGTAACGTGCATCCTTGAGTCACCACGATCAGCTGATCATTTGGCCCTTCTCCTTGACAGTGTGATGGCTTTAGGGCGCTTTGACTTCACGTACCCCTTCCAGATGCATATGCCACTCTTGTCATTTTCTAACCTATTGCCTATATTTAAAACCCCAAAGGACATTATTGGTATTTTCGTATATTCACGTCCACACACACTACCGCTTCTGCTGCCTGTCTTTTCTGCATCTCCGATGACCCATCTGGAATCACTTGTCTTCCGTCTGAAGAACACCCTCTTGTGTTTTCCTTCCGCGTGGTTCTGCCGACGACAAAGTCTCACGCACGTGTGTGAGTGTGTGTGTCTGAAAATGTATGTTTAACCTTCATGCTTAAAACACATTTCGACCGAGTACTGAGTTCTACGTTGGCAGTTATTTTCTCTCGGCACCTTACAGATAGGCCTGAGTACCAAGCCTAACTCTCGTACCTTGGCGTAATCTCTCTTTATCTTGGGCCGCTTTTCAGATTTTCTTTTCTCTTGATTTCCAGCAGGTTTGTTGCAATTTATCCAGGCGTAGATTCATTTTTATTTACCTCATTTGGAGTTCATCGGGCTCCTTGAATCTCTGGCTTGGTGCTTTGCATTAGTCCTGCACTTGGCTCTCTGCCACGCAGGCAGTGAGGAGCTACCGAAGGGAAGACTATCGAACGGGGGTCTGAGACGATTGCATTTGTGATTAATAATAATGGTAAAAACGACAGCTGTAAATTCTCACCTATTAGGCATTATGCCACACGTGTCATCTCTTTTCATCTTCACAACAGCTCTGTGATCTAGAAATTATCCTTTCCATAATCAAGGCCGCTGGTTACTAGTACAGTAACTGGCCCAAAGCCACACAGCAAGTGGCAGAGCCAAGACTGGAGGCCAGGTGCGTCTGACCCCAGGGACCGTGGTGTAGCCACTAGCCACGTGTGCCCGTTCGCATTAAAATTGATCAAAACCGAATAAAATTTAAAATTCAGTTCCTCAGTCACACCAGCCACAGTTCAAGCGCTAGATAACCGGATGCGGCAAGTGGCTGCCATGTTGGACAGCACAAAGACACATTTCCATCATTGCAGAAAGCAGTCAGACAGCGCTGTCCACAGCTTGGTGACTCTCGCAGTAGCATGAACAGCATTCCAAAAGGAAAAGAACTAGAGGCCAGGGCCCAGGTGTCACAGCCCGAAGTTCTCGTACGGGGTGGGGGCAGAGCAGTGGCATGGACACGGTAGAGGTCGGAGTGACAGGCCTGGAGGACACTGGGTGGTGGAGAGGGAGCAGGGTGGCAGCTGGACCTGACTCTCAGGCTTGCGATTGGGGAAGGGGGACACAGAGTCCAGGTTGGACTCTGATTTTGTAGCGTGTGACACAGTCTGCTGAGGTCAGAGCACGTTTAGAACTGGGAGGATTGCTGAGGGAGGACGGTCTGCCCAGAGAGGTGAGATGATTTTTCCAAAATGACATCGCGAGCTAGTCTCTTCCACTGTACCGCGCTACTCAGAGGATGCTCCGAAGGGCTTTTCTGGGTCTTTTATTGCATGTGTGACACACACACCCCTTCAGCTCCCTAATACACAGCTTGTGAAGTCATTTAAATACAAAATCCTTTCATTTGTTTAAGAGACTTTTGTCTCATTTCCTGGTAATGCCAGAGCCCTGGGCTCAGCAGGTAGTCCCAAAATATTTCTTGTTGGAAAATGAATTGGGCAGCTGCAGGGTCCTATAACGGCCAGCAGAGGGAAGCACCGAGCACCCCTAGATCCCCCCTTCCAGTTGCCTATTACCCAAGCAGAGGGGAGTACGTAGGCAAGCTTCTCAGCCTTAAACACCTCCAGGAGTGGTCTCCACCGGTGAGTGTGCTAAAAGTGGAAATGACACATAGTTATGATAGTAAACCCAATAACAACATTTACCAAGCACCCATCATGGACCAGTTACTAATGTCGTTAGAACGAGGCTACGTGGCAGACATTCCCACCTTTGTAAGTTACAACAATACCCGGCACACTTACAAAGCCCTTAGGAAGTACTGGCACTAGCCCAAACATTTTGAGTGCCCACCATGCCTCTACGAGGCGGTACTAGTATCATTCCCATTTGACAGATGAGGACACTGAGTCACAGGGCAGTGAAATGACTCCCCCAGGGCCCTACGGCTTGTTAGGGCCCGAGCTGGGCTGCGAGCTGCAGTATGACAAACACAGTCGAGCCTGAGATGCAAAGCTGGGCCCTTCCCCCCAGGAGACAGATCCTTGTGCGGCTGCCGGTGACCCTGCCACCTGGGCTGCAGCTGTCCCCACCCCTCTGGGACTCCCCAGGCCATTAGACCTCCTGGAGGAATGTCCCCAGAGTGCGTTATGATCACATTAGCAGCAAGCACATGCTTTCGTCATCCTTTCAGGTTGAAGAGAAGCTTCAGGAGGATTCCAGGAGGAAATTGCTTCAGCTACAAGAAATGGGGAACAGAGAGAACCTCATTAAAGGCAATTTGGAAAGGGCAGTAGGTCAGGTAGGAGTGCTTCGGAGCCCCCTTGGTGGGCCCACGCTCCCCATGGGTCTCCTGCACCCACTGGGCTGGCGGGGAGGAGCAAGGAGGGAGAACAGCGTGGCTTCATTCTCGCGGCTGTCTCATGGGAAGAAGCTTCGCGTGGCTTCCGCATCCCAAAGGAAGTCCCAGAAGAGGCTCTTCCCGCTGCGAAGCTGCCCGCTCTGGTAGTTCGCCACGGCCGCCCGAGACCCTGGCTCAGCAGCCGCTCCTCGACGCCTGTCCCAGTTAATCGGCCCTGCGGTTCTCTCTGGGGGAGGGTTTGAGCCTCTTGACCCCAATAGCGTTTCTGGTACTTTCTCCCTAACCTTTTTTTTTTTTTACACTTGAACAGTAAGGCATATATATATTTACACTGTGTGTTCACCTCCCATAGTTAGATTTCTTTCTGTCCCCACATTTTTGACCCCCTTTACCCCGTCTACCTCCCCCGCTCCCCTCTCCCCTCCCCCTCTGGTATCCACTAGTCTAAAGTCCACGTCCATGAGTCTCTGTTTGTTTGTCCTGTTCCTTTGTTGCTTTTAGGTTTATATCCCACATGTAAGTGATATCATGTGATCTTCAACTTTTTCTGTCCGGCTTATTCTGCTTAGCATGAGTAACACTTTTCATCCTGACCTTTACATTTACGTTCTTCCTCTGGGCCCCCAGCAGATGTCACCATCAATATCCCTAAGGAAATGCCACTTTTTTATTCTTAAGAGAAATAAAACCCCGGAATGTGAAAGCTCATGCGAGAGGGAGGAGTCCTGGGCAGGGTGGTGAGCAGGCTCTGGTCGGGGTCCCATTTCTCTGATGCTCTGGTCCGAGGCGGCCCGGCGGTCCATCCTCATACACGTGGCACAGACATGAGGGCCAGAACATGCAGACGAGACTTCACCAAGGGCTAAGGGAGACCAAGCAAGAAGCAGGATGGGGGTGCTGACGTTCTAGGATATGGCCCACCAAGGCAGCCCACCTTGGACCCGTCAAGGAGCCCTTCCTGGCAACCATGGCTCCAGGCCATCCAAGAACGTTTAGCGTGTACATGTGTTTGTGCTTTTTTTTTTTCCTGGGAGGGAGAGTCCAGCATGCTGCTCATTGGCTTCTCAGAAGGGTCTTTGAACCACCCAAAAGATTAAGAACCTCAGTCCTGAAGGGTCCTTCCATCCCGTCTAGCCCAGCCCCCAAAGCTCAATGATCTGGTCACGTCCAAGTTGAACCAGCAGTGTGACAGGTCTTCATTAGAGGCGCACGCACGTTAAAAAATGATGCTGATGGTTGGGCAGATTTTAAAGCGTCTTCAACAAATGTCCACCAGCATCGCCTCAGTGTCTGTCCCCTTCAGAGTGTCAAGCCCTCAGCACGGGGCAGAGAGCCGGCCCATCTGGGCCTCCCTCTGTACCTGGGCTCCCCCCTCAGCGTTCCTGCACTCTGCACCCCCTCCCCGAGCACACACCTGAGTGATGGGCATGATCCGTGCCACTTGCCCAAGTGGTCCTGGTTGTGACACTGGGCAGAGGTCATCCAGGGGGACCCTCAGAGACACTGAGGTTCCTCCGGGTCTAGACTCGAGCGTGAGGACGAGCCCTCTCTGCCTCCCTCACCTTCCCACCCACCCCCTTAGCCCGCTGCCGTGCTCCCTGTCTAAGACGCGTCCTCTCTCAGGCAAGTGACTCCAGGACTGAGCCCGTCATCCCAGAGAACCTGCCCTGCGGGGTGCCTCTGGTGGCAACGGGGACCTCACCCATGGGGCCCCTTCTACATAACCTCTTCCCTCAGCAAGTTCGGACTCCCCCCTGGGCTGTGAAACCAGAGGACGGTGGCATGGAGACACCCCATTTGGCTCCTGGCAGGCAGACCCCAGGGGTGTCCTTAAGCGATTCGCCACTGCGATACTCAGTTTCCCAGGATTCCATGATGTGCAGGACTCCCCGGTGTCTTGGGACCCGTTGACTTTTAAGTTGATTCGGTGACCCTTCTGATCCCTCCATAACTCTGTTTTAGAGTCTTCAATGACCGCATTTTGCCAGTGAACCAAAAACCCAGGCCAAGGGCCGCCATGCTGGTATATTTCCAGAGAAAAATTGGCTTCTTTGCCTCTCGCTTCTCATGGAAGCTGAGCCACCTTGAATGTGTAATTCTATAAGCCCTAATTTAATTTAACTGTGCCGTTCCATCAACTGTAATCTGAAAACACCAGCACCAAGGAGGCATTCAACAGAAGCAGTTGAACTAAGTAGAGGACCCTGTCTTTGACAGATGTTTCATGTACATAGGCATTCAATGCATATTTCTAGACTGTCTGCTCTGTGCCAGGCCCTGTAGCAATCCCTGGGGATACAGAGGTGAATACGGTAGGGTCTTTGGGACACATATGTCTAAGGCGCAAAATGGCAGAAAGCACATTCTTCTCTCCCCAGCCACCCTTGCTGATTATACAATTTACTTGGGCTGACAGCCTCAATATTTATGTCACAGTCTGGTGCCAGCTTAGCAATTATGGAAGAGAGCTCCCAGCCCCAGGCTCCTACTGGATAATTGGCAGCAAGTAGCTCCTCTGAGGGGTTGAGACGCATGTGCTGACCACACGCATCCGTTGGGTTAGGCAGGCAGGCCTAAGAAGTAATTAAAACCCGCCGTTCCCGTCTCTTCTGTGGGCACCTTCCCTTCCGGTGAGACGTAGAGATTCCAATAACCTGTAGTGGCCATCACAGGTGTGCAGGCCCTTGTCACTGATTTCTCCTGGACCCCGGTGATGGAAATGCCACCCCACGGCTTGCTGGCTCCAGCTGTCCCCGCTGACTTAGTTGCCTTCCCTTTGTGCTGCAGCTGGAGCATTTCAGAAGTCAAATCATCAAGGCCACCTACGGACGAGTGAAGCCGTTCCAGGACAAACCTGTCACCGATCAACAGGTTTGTCTGGATTTTGCACTTCCTTCTTCGGGGACCCGGGGACTGCAGACGCAGGGAGCATATGTTTCTGCCTTTGGTTGGTGGCACATATTTTTCACACTGTTGCTACACCATAAAGATTTGTTTTGATTTTATGGGATTTCCTGGCTTTTAAAGTAAAAGCCAGCTAAACTCCCTTGAAGTGCTTCTGTGTAAATCAAATTAAACCACGCAGGCCTGTTTCCGGTCGCCAGACACACACGTCTGACCTCCGTTAGCACCGTGCGGAAAGGGCCGGCTCGCCGCAGCCGAGGCATTCAGGCCTGTCCCTTCTGAAGGGGGAAGATGGCAGTAAGGGCGGACTCTGGCTGTGACGCCTGTCTTGTTATTCTTCCAATTATTCTTTCCAACTCTCTGTGTCAATGCACGGGTGAAAACACATGCCTCCCGTCGGCTGCAGGAAACCTGACCCCTTTGCGAGCTCACAGCATCAGGCTGGGTTATGAATCGCTCCCAGAATGCAGAAAAGTCTAGAACAAATACATGGCAACAATACAGGCCTCGAGCCCTTAAAAATCACCTCTGATCCCGGGTCACGTGTCCTGCTGGCAGAGCCAACGTCCTCCGCCAGAGCCATCCCTAAAACATGTCAGGACCTCCTTCCTTCCTCACCTGCTGAGACGGAAGCGTCAGTTGATGCTTTCCAGTTCCCTCCTCCCAGGGCCACTTGTATTTCAAATGTTTTTTTTCTTTTTCTCACCAGTTAATAGAGAAGATTACCCAGGTCACGGAGGACAACATCAGCTTCCAGCAGAAAAAATGGACCTTGCAGAAGGAGACTCAGCTCAGCCATTCCAAACACGAGGAAATCACGGAGAGCATCGAGAAGCTGACGATGTCTCTAGACAGCTGCCAGGTGGCCCCTTCTCTGCTTTTCACAAATGTTCCCTCTGTCAAATATTTGTGCTGCTTATTTGGGAAATTTATCTAGCCTTTGTGGAACAGGTTGGGCAGAAATGCTCTGCTTTTTTGTCCACCTTTTCTCTCATCGGAGAAACTTGTTTGAGAACAGAAAACAAAGGACCTTGAAAAATGCCTCCCAGGTGAACTTGGAGTGGCCAAGGAAAAGATGCCTGAGACGCTCCAAGTACTGACTTTGGGAGGTTCAGAGTCTCTGGCGAAAAATACGTATATATTTATCCAGATAGATAAATAGATGACAGATAGATAGATAATTGATTAATGGATTGATAGATAGATATCCCCCCTTATTCCTAGAGAAACCAAAGGAACACTCTTGTTCTTTATTTTCATTTTCTTTTTGTCCCAGCCATGGAAAAGCTGTTCTTAACCCTGTTGCTTTTGACTGTAGAGGGAACGGGACCAGGGGGTCTGGCCGAGCCCCCACGGCCCCCACACGGGGATACAGCTTATCAGAGCAGGCTTCCACTTCTGCTTTATCTGGAAATCAGAAGCTACTATTTGGGGAGTTCGTGCAAATGTGGGCTTCTCGGCGCTGTTTCAAATCAGGAAACTGCAC